TCTCGTTGATATATAAAAAAACTTATCTTTTTTAAAATAAATAATTTAACATTAGAAGTATATAGTCTCCTTCTATTTAACATTAAGATGATAGGAAAGTTGATACCAAAAATAAAAATTAACATTAAGATGATAGGAAAGTTGATACCAAAAATAATAATTAACATTAAGGTTATACGAAAACGTTCATTTCTTGAGGCGATTATATATATTAAATATAATATTTAAAGAGAAACAAGTATTTTTAAGGAATCCAAATCGAACCTTATAACTATGCAAACCAATATTGCTAAAATCGGTATTTTTTATCGAACCTAAACCGTTAAAAATATTTCTAGCTGAACCTGAACCGATAAAATGCCTCTGAACCGGTTCGAGTCTCATGATTTTATGCTTATAAAATAATGTGTAAGTTATTTATTGCAAAATTTTTAATTATATTCAAATTGTTTTAAAGATCATTATCAATCACATTTGATTGATAGGTGTCATTCATATTTTTTATAAACTTTAGTATATTGCCATTTTACAACATTTTTTAAATATTTTAAGTTTATAAATTATTATGCCTAGAGAAAAATTAAATCCAATATATGAATTATTTACATATAGTATTATGACACATCAAAATGTAATATTACTGATTGTTAAATAAATATGAAAAGCCATCATGGGGCAAATATTAAGCGTCACATAGAATTCGATAAAATTAACAATATATCACAACAAAAGCCTAATAAAATAAAAAGGTATAAGATTTCATCAAGCCAACAGAAGATAGAAAAAGTCTTAAAAGAACAATATCAGTAAAACTAAAAAAAAAATAATCGTTGTTTGTACTGAGTTGGTCATTTTTAATGGCAGACCATTCAAATTAATCGATGATAGCGGTTATAAAAAAATTCTTTCCTAAAGAAGGCATGGGTAATATTAAAATTAATTCTCAAAATATTTAATCTAATGTTGCAGGTTAGCCTTAAGTATTCGGCAAAATATAATCAAAGATATAAATGGAAAGTTATTATCTTTAAAAATTGACTGTGTTACTCCTATAGACAGGTCCATTATTAGGATTAGTCTTCCGTATAATCAAAAATCAAAAATTGTTCTGAGAACACTAGCAATGAAAGAAAATTTTGAACGGCCCACTATAGGAAATTTAAAACTCTTTTTAATAAAAGTATTAAATGATTATGGAATCAAAACATCACAAATATACTCTATAACAACTGACAATGGGATAAATCTTATTAAGATGGTAAAATTATTTATGGAGTAGTGACGATGACAATCAAGGAAAATGATGAAGAAAAACAAATACAAATTATCAGATATCATACCAGTGCTGGCTACCCATGTTATGTGGAAAGATATTTTTCACTAATTAAATTTATACTATCTCTTTATAGATGTAATTTGAATGAGACGAATCTTGAAAATATATTCATTGTGCGGCTTAATAAATTTTTTTTAAGTAAATAGAGTTAAATTTTGTTAATATTAAAATAAATCATTGATATATATTTGTTACATTTATAAATATAATATAATTTTATAATGTGCAATTAATAAAAATGAAGGTTTTATTAACCAAAAAAACACCACCCAAATATTAATGATGATACAATTTAATTTCTTAAAATAAAAAAACAAAAAAGAGCAAAAGAACCACTGAACTTCAATACAAAAAATTGAAATTCACAATAAATAAGATTCTAAAAAATTGAACTTCGATAAAAAAAAAAATACTTAATAATGAGAACTTAGAACTTACTCCCGTAGATAATTACTCAATTACTTTGATCTTGATATATATACTTTTGCAAATTAAAATTTTATTTCTTTATTCAATTATAACTAAATTCTAAAAATATTGAAACTTTATAATTTTTCGAAATTTAATCATAATCCAGAAATTTTATTATAATTTTTTGAAGATTCAATAATAATTTTAAGAAATTTTATAATAATTTCAAAAAAATTCAATAATGACCTTTTTTATAAAAAAATGAGAAATTTTTATAAAAAAAATTGATTAACGTAGAAAATTCTTTTTAAACCAATCATAAAATGTATTTTTTTGATAGGCGTTTTGGTATAAATATACATGGAATTATTTACAAATCCGGGACAACATTTATATATGTGTTTTTTATATGATAAAAAAAAATTCTTCCTTATACATAATTCGAATGTAGGTTTGAATTCAAGTGTTTAAACCGGTTTTTGGAGGTTCAAACCGAACCGATATTTTATCCTTGAATTGTTATTTTTATCCAATCCTGAACCGCTATTTGTTATGGTTTGGATCCCTGGTATTTTTTACATGTTATTGAATTTTGAAGCAAATAAATGTTATTTCCATTTAGAACATAAGATATAGATGTTTGGACATTTAGTGCCATTCACGATATTCTATATACATTCATACTGAATATTTACTAATAGTAGAAGTAATAGGCCTATAAATATTAAAAGTTGAAAAAACCTTAAGTGTTTATTTTTATTTTCGATTGGAAAACTATTTCAAGCATGTTTCACATACATATAATATGGAAAGAGGAAACCTAGTATTTTTTTTACATGCTATTGAATTTTGAAGTAAAAAAATCTTTTTTCAATTTACAGAACTTCATAAGATATATAGATATTTATACATATAGAATTGTCATTCAGATAATTCTATATACATTCATATTAAATATTTACTAATAGTAAATAGGCCTATAAATATTTGACGCTTAAAACATTTTAAAGTGTTTATTTTTATTTTCGACGCATGTTTCACATATATATATATAATATCTAAAGAGGAAATCAAGTATTTTTTACATGTTATTGAATTTTAAAGCAAATAAAGGTTATTTCCATTTACCGCATAATATCATCTTAAAAAATTGACACAAGAGTGTAAGTTTAAATCAGATGGTGGCAGGAATAAAAATGACAGCATTGGAGAAAGATATTCGCACCAGATTTCCAGATTGAATAAATGACCTGGGAGAAAAGGTAAGCATTCAACAAGTTTTAAATATGGCGTTGGCAATGAAAAGAGCTAAGAATGAAGTTATAAATATGATGGTAAAAAAAGGTTAATAAATCTAAAGAGCAAATGGAGAATAATCAAGGCCCAAAGGAAATTTTAATTATACATAATAATAAGAAGAATTTTAATTACAGAGATAATAGTAAATTGAAAAATAATGATATGTATAAGAACAATGACTGTTCAAGATGTGGAAGAACTCACATCCCAAATGTTTTGCATCAAGGGTAACATGTTACAATTTCCAAAAGGTAGGGCACTATGCATAATACAGTAAAGGATGTAAGCTACATGCTATGCATCTAGATGTATATGAATCATCAGATTCAATAACTGTCGAATACGAAAAAAGTTATTTATAATTTTAAAGAAACAGTTAATTTGAATATAAAATTTGTAAGGATAATTGAAGATATGTATAAGAACAATGACTGTTCAAGATGTGGAAGAACTCACATCCCATTCAAATGTTTTGCATCAAGGGTAACATTTTACAATTTCCAAAAGGTAGGGCACTATGCATAATACAGTAAAGGATGTAAGCTACATGCTATGCATCTAGATGTATATGAATCATCAGATTCAATAACTGTCGAATACGAAAAAAGTTATTTATAATTTTAAAGAAACAGTTAATTTGAATATAAAATTTGTAAGAATAATTGAAATGTTTAAATGGGGTTTGAAATTCACTATCATATGCTTATTTGCAGCTATCAGTAAAAGAGAACTCAAAGGAATACCTAAAACCCATATTGGGTATTTCGATATCAATACCTTTCAGCCTCTCTAGTGCGCCGACTATTTCCCAAAATATATGGACAATCTATTACAAGGCAACAAAATGACAGGAGTATACCTTGACGATATTATCATAACGGGAAAAAATAATGTATAACATTTGAACAATGGAAGAAAGTATTAATGAAATTAAAACAGGAATTTGAAGGCAAAATGGACGAAAATACGTTATTTAAAAGAATCAGATTTTTTCTGGGATTCGTAATAGATGAAAAAGGCATGCACCCAGCGAAGAAAAAAATAGATGCTATTCGAGGGATACCAACTCCTAAGAATATACACCAATTGCGATCTTTAGGACTTGTGAATTATCACGAGAGATTTTTACCACATTTATATGGTATAGCTCCATTGCATAAATTAACAAGCATTAAATGTTCCTGGGGTTAGTCTGCCAGGGAGCAAGATGTATTTAATAAAATAAAACAGCTTTTGTCAACAGATAAAACTTTAATTTCTTATTCGCCAGACTTGTCGATCATATTAGAATATGACGTCTCCAACACTGGTTTTGGAACTGCTACTTCACGTGATCTAAAAGGGTTTTAGCAGACCTATCGCATTTGCTTCGCGAATATTATTGGAGTCAGAGAAAAATTATGTACCAGTAGAAAAAGAAGCACGAGCACTCTTGTTTAAAATGGAAAAATTTCAAACAGTAGATATGCCCAAATTTATCAAAGTATTTTCTAATAGTAGTTAACAACAATTTGTTTGGAATCAACATTTTAGTCAAATTAGGAATTTGCCCAAATTAAACAGGTGTTACGGTACCGAGTTTTTTCTAAAAATTATTTGTATAGTTTTTGCTCAATTTTTTAAATGGACGATTTTTAAATTAAGTTATTTTTTAAAATAATAATGCAGTTATTATTTAAAATTGAATTCTTTGATTGTGATAATATTAAATATAAATATAATATTAATCTTTGCTTTAAAAAAAATACTTGTACATATGGAATCTTATAAAAAGCTAAACTCTACTACTCCCGAGGAAGAACCAAGAGAAAGTTTTGATATTATATATATCAAAAATATTCAAATTTTTGAAAATTCGATTTAAGTCCCTAATAAAAACTAAATATTATCGGTAGAAGTTTTTTTATTATACAATTTGAATCGATATTAGTTATAATACATTATTATTTTAAATTCAACTGAGTCTTTTCTTGTATTGTTTCTTAGCTATCCTATAATAACGTCTCATTATTTGGCGTTTATTGAATATAACCTGAGCTTTAGATAAATTGTTCTCAATATATGAATTATTATTATTATCATGTAGGCTCGATTGAGAGTCTTTTGAATGCCAATTATTACAATTATTTTTGATCTTGGAGTTCATAATGGAATATCTATGTTTATAATTCATGTTATTAACACATATTTCTGAATTATTATGTAAAATGTATTCTGCTTTATTATTCTTTAAGCCCTTACAATTCCTATTACAAAGCAGATAATTACGATTGTTTAAAAAGGGTTCCGAAAAATAAATAGCGGGAGAATATGGAGGTATATAATTTGATGAGTCATTGGTAGAATATTTATTGGGTGTATTTAGGGTTTCAATACTTGAGATTGCTGATCCATTCATAGAGATGTTAGTTGAGTTGTTAAAACCATCAACGTATATTTTATTACTAGAATAGCACATACTATAATAATGAGAAAAGTTTTTATGATGATAATCTAAATCAGGGAAAATTGGAACACAATAACATTGGTTAAACCGTGCGTATTTATGTAGTATTAGTGCCTTGAGATCTACAGTAATGTATAAAATATCACAGTACAATTGTTTTAATCTAAAACACTTCGTTTAAAAATCCAACTTTTACCACTTATATTCATTAAATTTCAATAATTCTTCTATCTCCTTTTTACGTCACATAACCTATCTAAACCCCGATTTCGTCAACTAAATTTGAATATATTTTAACTATATATATATTCCATCGATAAATAAAGGAGGGGGGGGGGGGGTAAAAATTTCAGTAGATTTAAAATAGCACCCAGCAAAGTTCAAAATATATTCTGAAATTTACCATATTGATCAAAATAAGCAGGAATAGATGGAAGATATTGAAGTTGGTTCCCCCAAGAATTTATCATTTGGGTTTCGGAATTATTTTCAGCATATAGCAATAAACAGTTCTTAGTATTTTTCTCGTTTTTAAACTCGTCCTTTTCATCATAATCACAGTCACTGTCATTATTTGGATCACCTTTTTAAAATAAAATTACGAGTGTGTATATTAACGGTCTAAAGTTTAAGCAGAGATGTACCGATACTCATAGTACCGACCCTTATATACCTTCTATTTCTGCAGGTACCTGTGCTTTTAGTAAACTATTCAATACTCTAAAGATTAGCTAAATAGCTTTCCTATAACTTTGCAATTATATTGCAAAATATTATTATTTAATAAAATAATTTGAAAAATTCGCTCCTCTCCCTCCCTATTTCTTTCAGAATATTTAATTCTTTAAAATGACTTTTATTATTTTTTGTTTTCTAAGAATTAATCACAATCCGACAAGAAAAAAAATCTTAATTCATAATTTTTTGGACCCCACCTAAACTAATATTCAGCGTGAGTGATAACATTGAAATATTAAAAAAATATCCTTTCATATAATATGAGAAACGAATTCTTAAAAAAAAAAAAATGAACCTAAATCAAATATGCTTAAGTTATTTTTTATCCGTGCCAATGCCAGGTATAGGCGTGGAGAGACAGTTATCGAGGTATAGTCAAAAAAGGGATATCGGTGCATCTCTACTTTATAAGTAAGGGATAACTAAATATTTTTATAATCATTAATTTTTTTTTACTATCTATATCTCCGGTTTGAGAAGATCTGAGCTGATACAGTTTTGAAGAGCTTGAATTAAAAATTTATATATTTTAAAAAATAGTCAATATTCAAGGATGGGGAAGTTTTCTAAATACAAATACTAAAAAAATATATATTAAAATTTTTATAAAAGATTTCCCGCCTGGCCCAAGCTCGTAAAAAAATAATAAATTTGCATTATTTCTAATCTAAATTTTTATTTATTTTGTGCAAGGTTCCAGCGCGTAAATTTGGCCCGACCCATAGGGATGCTTTAAAAAAAATTAAGATATAAATGCTAAACCCTATATTATTTTAATCGAAATGCATATTATGACATTCATGATATAAATAAAAGGTACGGGCATAACATATAAAGCTCCCTTTAATCATTTTAATTTGTATCCTTTCTATCTCTAATAATGGAATTAAAGTGGATAGTCCAATAACCTTTGTTTTTCTTTCACATGGTATTAGATAGTACTAAGCCCTGTGGCCAATATGTCCAAGGGTGTTGGCATTACCGATTAAAAATATCATTACGATACAAATCGAAGTATTCATTAACAGAGTTAATATTGAAGTGGGGGGAGGGGTTTAAAGATGATTGGATATAAGAGAGGCAAAAAAATAAAAAATATAAGTATATTAAAGAGAAAAATCAATTAATTCAGGAAATCATAAGAAAAAATCATAAAATAAAAATCCTAGCTAGTTTGTAAATTAGCTAAGCCTTTAGATAGTTTTTAAGCTAACTAAACTAGCTATATTTATATATTAGTATATAGTATCAGTGGCATCACTAACCTTTACAATCTCAGGGGAGTTTTAAAAAAATTTTCGATGCCAACATTTTCAAAATGGCCTTTTTTAGGTATAAAAAAGATCTACAGATTTCAAGCCCATGTGCGGTGTGCACCCCACCCCCCTTAGTGAAGCTACTGGCCGTAATATATGTACAAGGATGTAGTCGGAGGAGGTCCCATTAAATTTTTTTAGCTAACCCCAGTCAATTTTTACAAATGTAGGGGGTACGGCGTGCCCTATCCAATAAATAATTTTTCGTTATTTTAGCATATTATTAGACCTGTGCCCAGGCCGGCCATTTTTGGTTACGCCGAAAACGCCGCCGTTAAGAAAATCACGCCGGCGCGCCGCCGATTTTCATATCGGCAGCGCACGGCCGGCGCAGAAATTTCTTTCTACCTTTTTATTCTAATAATTGGTCAACATCACTCTTGTAATTTTTTAATGTCAATCAGGAATTTGATGAATTTTTATTTCTACTATTTTAAAATCTTAATTATATTGACGTCATTATAGAATTCAATCAATCAAAAATTTAAAATTCCAAAAGTTACCATAATTTTACATATTTTTAAAATGGATGCATCTACTTTAATAATTTAAATAATTTTAGTATCCTAACTCTGGATAATAAAAAATCCATAGTCTGGAAATTTTTTGCAAAAGAATTAGAGAAATTATTACTGCTCTAAGATATAAAACAGCAGAGGTTGAATTTGAATTCGAGGATATCAAAGAAGATGCCTAAGTACAATAGATTTAACATCAGACATGTTAGATCTTGACAGCATTGATCCATACCCGGATACCCGGTTTCAAATTGGCAGTTCCAATGATAATAGTAACAATAATTCCACGCATATGAAAACCTTAAAATTAAATATCCCAACACGTTGGCATAGTATATTAATTATTCTAGAAAGCATATCTGGATTAAATAAGAATTTAATTAATAATGTTTTGAAAAGAATTGAGAAGCACTTTCTCAAATTATGAATCTGATCTGGTAGAAGAACTATTAGCATTTCTTTCAAAATTTAAAGAAACTGACGAATTTCTTTCAGTACTAAAAGGGCCTACTATAAACTTGGCGTTACTTTTTATTGAAACACATTTAATAGTAAATGATAGTGATAGTTCTGAAATTATTTCACTTAAGAAAAATATGCTAAAAAAACTTGCGTTACGATTTCCGGTTTGTAATCTGCAAGTAATATTATATAAGTATATTCTTTTATTTTTTATTTAAAATTATCTAGGTATTGGCTTCTCTTTTAGATCCAAGATTTTAAAAATTGACAATTGTGTCAAAGTATTTAATAGAACAAAATTGCTCAGCTTCAGAATTTATAATAAAACATCTTAAACTTATAGAGAATAATGATAATCAGGTAGTAAATATAGCAAATGAGGATGAATTCAAGTTATTTGACAAAATTGGCAAATAAACATTCAACAAATATAAATTATGATTCCAAGTTAGGTGACTTAAAACAAGAATGCCACAGTTTTCTTGGAAAACGACATTCACAAGATATGGACGTTCTAAATTTTTGGAGAAAAAAGGAGAGTGAACTTCCCAATCTTTCCATGCTCGCCAAAAAATTCTTTGCATTCCGGCGACTAGCACACCTAGTGAAAGAGTTTTTTCTACCGCTGGATTGACGTTAAATTCATGGAGATCATCATGCGCGCCGCCGGCCGTTTATTGATTTTTTAAAAATTGCGCCGGCTGCCGATATTATGTCGGCGCACAGGTCTACATATTATTGATATTTTTTATCATGAAATAAACAAAAAAATTGTTATAAACAAAATGGTAGTATATTAATGTAATTGTACATTTTTAATTTAAAAACTAACCCTTCTCTATTGTAATTGTTTCTTAAAAGAGAATATCCAAAAGAAATAGGAGAATGTCATCATATCTGTTTTGACTAACCGTTTCTAGCTACACCCTGCGCCGTCATAAGAAATGCATATATCAAGTAAATGGTGCAATAATACAATTGATAGCAGCCATTTATATGACTAACACATAAAAACCAAAAAATTTGGAAACATGCCAATTCAGATGAACCCAAAACTGCTAAAAAAGGCTATGAAACAAAATAAAAAAAATACTGCTAGATTGCATTAAAAATGGTTAATCAGATTGATAAACCGACTAAGAAAATATTTAATACTGCATATTATCTTGCAAGAGCAAATCGACATTTTGTAGATTTGAATCGTTAATAAATTTACAAGAGCACAATGGCTTAGATATGTGATACATTTTGCATTTTAGGTATTCTGGGTTGTTAATAATTAAAAGTATTTCCTAAAAAATGCATATGAAAATTGTAAATAATATTATGAATTTGCAATCCAAAAATCACTCTCCGATCATAGGCAACATTATCATATAAACAAGCCTTGATTATTTATGTAAAATCTGTATTGGGGTCCTCTCTTGATAAACCTATTTGCTTAGACCTGATCTGATTGAATTGGAATCAAGAGTTGCAGAGGGGATTGTTCATACCCTACTAGATTTTCTTAAAATTTTTTATAAAAAAAATTATTTTGCTAGCGATGGCGTCAATGTTAAAACAGAGAAGAAATCTGATGTAGGACGTGCTTTGAGCATTATATCCAACGATCATAATCTGGTATTTTTAAAATCATCGTTTAGAATAAGCGGTGTTCAATGAAATAAAAGTGTTACAGGCGTTAATTACTTTAAAGCTTTTAATGTATAGTTTATATAGCCACTCTATAAAATCAAAAGGCGTTGGATCAAATAGCATCTGAATTGAGTATTCAGTTGCTGAAGATTGGGTGCTTGATGTATGATGGGTGTCGAGGTTTTCGTAAACTGTTAAGGCAGTTTGGAATAACTATGAAGCCCTGTCCATGCATTTCAAAAATTCAGCAAATTCTAGCAAGAGTGCAAAATATAATGGATAGTGATAAATTCATATCACATTTCGCCTTGATATATGATTTCCTATTTGAATTAACTAATCTGTCTTTAAGGCTTCAGGCAAGAACAACCAATCTAAGACCATGTTCAAAAAAAAAAGTTTTTGAAAGTCTTTCCGAGGCACGTTTTACGCAATATTTTTTACTTTTAAACAAACTGCCTTCATTATAGATGGATTCTGCTTTCGTTAGAATTTTCTAAGAATTCACTCCTCTCTAGGGTGATATTTATTTTTAATAAAATTTATTTATATATTTCTTTTCATATAATTTTTAAAATATAATTCTTTTTGATATCATTTATGTTGTATTTTATTTATAAATTTAAACCGCTTTTTAGATAAAATTATTTACAAATTAAATAAAAAAAATTTAATAAATAATTTGTGCAAAAAATTACTATATCCCCAGAAAAGGGCCAATGTTATTTTAAACTAATATGAATTACTTATTAAAATATTAAAAGCTAAAGAACTTATCCAAACTATTTTCAAATAATTTATACTCGCAGAATAAGCAGACTGAATATTTAGAGGGATAAGTTATCTAAGAAAAGGATATAAATAAATAGATCATTTTTATTAAAATATTATCACCAAATAAGTTTATATATTTTATTAAAAAAATTTACATTAATAAATGTAACGACATAAAAAATGTAGGCAATGAATATCTGAAAAAAATAAGGGATAAAGTTGCTATAACTTATAAATAATTAAAATTATATTAAATGGCATTCCACATAACTGTGTAATAAATAATTTGCAAGGTTTTTATTTGTAACTGTAATAGAATCAATTAACCTTGAAAATAAAGGTAATTGATAATAGAATTAATTGTATTCAAATATATTTGATATGATGATTAATTGCATCTCTTTACCCAGTCATCTCTTTATGTATGACAATGGATGACTGGGTAAAGATATGCACCTTGATGAAAGTAGGAGGATCAAGACCTAAAGGAACCCAAGATGCCGTGGACAAATGTGATAGCAGCAGATATGAGAAACATTATTCTTACAAATATTGATGCTAATGACAGTCAAAAATGAAAAAGAAAAATCAGAGGGAAAACTGGCCTACTTGGGTAAGGAAATCGGCATAAAATGGAAAATAAGAAGATTAATTGATGTATTTATATTGATTTGTAGAAGTTAATTACAAAGATATATAATAAAATAACTCATTGTTTTCTATATGTAAATTGTATAAAATTTTTATAAAAACTTATAAAAATATTTCAAACAACATATCTGTCGGTTTGGATAAATG